CATGCCATTTTATAGCTCTGTAATGTTCATTTAATCTTGTTCAATGATGCTGAACCCAAGATGCCATAAGACATTACAGGAAAGCATCTACTGCACATATGGAGTAACTACTTTTTCTGAACATTAATTTCTGTCCTCTTAACAGGCTGAGAAAAGCCACCACTCTGTATGAAAGGTTTTATGCTATGGACTTGCAGAGATGGGCTACCTGTTACTGCTTGAGGCCCTAGCTGTAAAGTGTGGTATTTAAAGTGCCTAGTTAGGAATATCAGCTCAAGTCTCAGTAAGAATGGCTTTCTCTGGCCTTCCTAACGCTGCTGGCATCATACATTCTAATCAGGTCACAGGAGAGAACTGGGGGCATGGAGGATTTCCTCATTTGTCAGTGTGGGGGTTGGATATAGTCAGGGATTCTCAAAGTGAGGTCTGAGGACCATCCACAACAGAATCACTAGGGAGCTGAAAGGCAGGTCCACATGCAACCCCTCCCAACACTGAATAATCAGTTCTTAGGATGAGGCTGAGAAATCTGCATATTAAGTCAGTACCCAGTGATTATTCTGCATGTGAAGGGGTGAGAAGCACTGACAGATGATCTCGAAGGTCCCTTCCACTCTAAAATTTTAAGAGTCTGTGAGTTTTCTTTTAAAAATGGTGTCCCGCCAGCAAAATGGAAGTGTCCATACAACCGCAGAGGGCAACTGTCAGCCTAAATCATAAGTTTTCTTAGATTTTCATGTGACACAAAAATAATAGAAAGTACAAAGAGAACAGTACAGTCAGATGTGTAAGAAATCTACTTGTTTTTTTTCCCTCATGGGAGAAGTTGAGAAAGAACCCACTCTAATTACTACACTGGAGCATAGGTTACCAGGGGCTTTTCCTGCACCTTGCTTCCTATCTTTTTCCTCTTCACCTTCTGACTTGACTCCTCTCAGCTGTTAAAAAAAAACCCAGGCTTTCTAAATCCTGAGTCACCAAACTCTTAAGTAATTTTTAATTGGTCTGAATATATTCTTTTAAGAAATAAACTACCACAGGCAGTCCTCTACTTTCATTTGTAATAAGTGAAATCTTATAGTAATATAGAATATAGGAAAAGTAAACAATAGGCATATTTTTAAAAACGGAGTTCCATATTCAGAAAGCTAAAAAAATCAAACTGCAATTTTACTTCTCCCTTTGGGCACAATATTTGAGGAAGTATTTCCTATATGTTACTTTATTTCATTCTTTCTCTTCGTAACTGCTTAAAGGCTCAATGAGAGCCTAAGATTTGAGATATTTTAAAGCACATCTGGAGAATTTTATCTTGATGTATTTTATTTGGTGTAGGAGGGCTAAACTTCTATTTGTAATATGTACTTTTTAAAAATCATTAAGAGCAAAATACAACAGACTTTTAAAATAACTACACAAACATAGCTAAATAAATTAGGTATGCTGAACCAGACCACTGGCTGGAAGGCAGCGCCACCATGTGATGGCTCCAAATGTTGTCAACTTTGTTTAAGTCCACAGGTGGGGCTCTCACAACACCTGTGTCCTGTCACAATCAAGCTACTTTCAAACACCACACAGTTAATACTGCTGCAGAGTGAGAGGGACAAATGAGGACTGACTGTAATGAGGAAATCCAATTATGCATTTAGTCTTATCAGTGGCCAGACTGGATCAGATACTTAGTGTTTGACAGGGTGGCTCGTTGTGGGGTTGTGTTGCCAGACTTTGTGTATCCTTGGTTTAAGGAATCATAGACTGGATGTAGCTTGCAGATTTCAGTGTCCAGCTCTGTCACTTGTTAGCCCAATGTCCTTTCACAAAGGACAGATTTAGTAAAGGTTCTGTGGGTAGATTGTACATTGTGCCTAGTGGAGCCAATTTTATTCAAAGCTGCTTTCACCTATAGGTCTTGTGCCTATGTACATGATGCAGACAAGCTAATATAAAGAAGAAAGTTGAGAAGGTTAGAGTCAAGTTAAACTCCTTTAAAGTTTTTTTAGGTTTTTTTCTCCATCAGTTGTACCATAAATTTAACAGCCACATTATATTAAATATATATGTTCGCTGTAAACTCTCCCCTCATTTCAGAAATGTAGAAAAGTGGCAGGCATTTAAGGAAATGCAATATTTAACTGAGTCAGCACTTCGGGAGTACTTCCAAAAGAAAATTCAAATATAGACAAGTTACCTTCAATGAGTATTATTTGACCTTATTTAACAGGTGTACTTTCTTAACATAAACAGTTAAGCCTCCAAGCTCTCACAATCTAGGGAATAACTGAAAGTGAAACACATATTGGTCTCACAGTCCCTCGCAGCCCCTGAGGTGAAACACATATTGGCCTCACAGTCCCTCCCAGCCCCTGAGGAATTACAAAGGCAAGAAAGTGAGCTCTTTGGCTTCTGTATTTGTGTGGAGAGTTCAGGCTGTACCTGCAAGGGGTTGGCTGGAAAAAAACCCCCAGGATTCTACTGAAAGGTCTCACTCTCCCCAGTATCAGTTGAGATGGGTATACCACCCTACCATGACAGTCACATGCCCCCACAAAATAGTCCTTGTATCTCAGAAGAGTACTGGATTATTTAATCCAGGTAGGTACTAAGAAGTTATAAAATGGATTAAATTAATTTAGCTCATACAACATCTCTATGAACTACATATTCAATTAAAGCAATTTCAAAAGCAAAATCTGACAAAATCCTCTCTTCAAGTAATTTAGATATTAGGTTCTTAACTTAGACAAATTAAATCCTTTTCACAGTTGGTATTTTCCACAGGGTCAGAAATAGTGGCACAAGTCCTCTGGGATAAAAATTGACTTTGTGTGTTAAGCCATGTTTCAAGATCATAAACAATATAAATTAGAAAACATTAATGTGAGCCTAACATTCCTATTTATTTTATTTTACTTCAAAAGCTACATACATGCAAAAGTTGAACATGTCATCACAATGCTTTTAAATAAAGTTCAAAAATAAAAATACCTCAAAATCCATTTACTTATGGAAGTATATACGACAATTACAATGAAGATAATTACATGCCTTTTCTAATCTATCAGAAAAATATAAGAATTTTAATTCGAGTACAGAATAATTGTTAACTCTTTCATGAATAAAAAAAAAAACAAATTTGATGTTAGTACAATGTTTAAAGAAACAAGGTCCAGGCTTTTGAAAAATGGGTCTGATATCCTTATACCTCATTTTAAAATCACTGAAGAAACTCAAGTTTAGAAACAAAGCATTTTTGTAAAAAACTATGATCATTGTTATTATGGTTAATGCAGTTAGTAATGCAAGTGAAGGGCAGAACTTTTATAAATAGATATTTTGAAAGTGCTTTCAAATGTTTGAAGAATTTTATTTACAAACACAGGTTGGTGGCTTGAAGTACCTCTGTGTCTCTCTGCTGGTCAATACTACCAGACACAGGGGTATCAAATTCATTTTTACCTGGGGTCACATTAGTCTCACAGTTGCCTGCAAAGAGCCAAATGTAATTTCAACTCCTTAACAGTTAAGGAGTAGTAACATCTATACAGTCCTAAAATTATTTCAGCCCTTTGAAGGCAACCTCAAGGCGGATATGGACCCCAGTGAAAAACAGTTTGACATCTCTGCACAAGAGGAATTAAAAATTCTGAGTTCAGTGTAGTTCTGAGCACTTGGCCCTTCTGTAAAATGTATATTCATGCATGAGCAAACCTGACTCCAAAAACACCAGCAGGAGGTGGTGTCTTCACAGGACCCCATCTCTTCTAGGTGGGAGAAGCAGGACAAACAGCAGGGTCAAGGAGCAAGTCTCAGTGTTCCCAAGGGTGGCCAGTTCCTTATACTAAAACCAGTATTTCTTTGGTAACATAATACAATTTTTATTAACAATTCCAAAAACTAATGTTAACAGAATGCACTCCAAGTTCAACTTGGTGAATGTTCACATTCATCCTGGAAATGAGATTTAACTTCCTGTCCCTAAATGAAAAAGGCTGCCCATTTTGGAGGGCTACTGATTATTGGATATGATATACAATATGAGCAGGAAAGGGGGTCATTTAACAAAATGTGTCAAATTGATATGGAAAGCCCTAAGTAGGTACACATATCCAAAATTTGGAAGGAGCTTAATTCAAATAATTAAAGTATTCCCTTCTCTTTAAATCAGAAGTATAAGTTTGTTTTTTTTTAAGATTTTATTTTATTTCTTTATCTTCAGAGAGGGAAGGGGGGGAGAGGGGGAGGGGGCGGAGAGAGAGAGAGAGAGAGAGAGAGAGAGAGAGAGAGAGAGAGAGAGAGAGAGAAACACCAATGTGCGGTTGCTGGGGCTTCTGGCCTGCAACCCAGGAATGTACCCTGGCTGGGAATCGAACCTGGGACACTTTGGTTCCCAGCCCGCGCTCAATCCACTGAGCTACGCCAGCCAGGGCTAGAAGTATAAGGTTTCTTATTTGGAGAAATCCCTTGTTACCATTCTAAACCTTCCTTTGAAAAAGCCAAACTGAAATTCTGGTTATAAATATGTTCACAGAATCCAAACCTAGAGTTTGATTTGTATCCTGATACTCAACTCTGATTATAGTTTTCATGTTAGGCAACCCAACTATTATTTTTCTTTTATAACTAAAAAAATAAGTTTTAAAAAGGAAAAATAAAAGATATGTGTGCTGTCAGTGTAAAATCTGATTAAGTATGTTTTTTTTTCCCCTAGGACAGAAAAAGCAATGCCCAGTGCATAGTATATAGGAGTGTGACATGACAAATAATCAAGACAGGTTTTGCCAGCTGGTATTCCTGCAAGTGCAGCATGGTTTTCAAAAGCAGTCCTGTCACAGTTATGCATATTCTCATTAACTAGGTACAGTACAGCTACTTAAAAGAAAACTGACATCTGTGCCTCAATGAAAGGAGAGTGTACAAAACAATAATTACACAAAATAAAGAATTTCAGAGAGGGAAAAATTAGAGTAAAAAGAACACAGAAATTAGAAAGCAAAAAGGCAAGCAACATGACGGTAGAAACCCACAGTCTCCCACCACCCCACCTGCCACTTTGAGTCCTAATTGCCCAATCTGCAAGGACAGAAACCCACGCTAAATTGACCAGCATCGAACTTCGGCAAGTCTTCTCTTCACTCTCCCTCCTGTTAAGACCGTTTCCAAAACCAATCAGCAAAGGACAAAGAATTCTTTACAGAGTGCAATTAGTGTTTTCCACGTCCACCTTCAAAAGCATGATGCTCTTCATGGGCTAAAGAACAGAAAAAAACAAAAAAGAAAAAAGGAAAGAAAACTTTAAGCAAAGGATGGGGCAACCTTTCTCTAAGGTATCTCATTCAGTTTCCCCAAACGTTGGCAAAAACTCAAATAACTTTTTGTGCCAGTAACTGTTAGCTAAGGTGTGCATTTCCTGAGAAACGTAATAATGAAAATTAAAACAAGGAATAAACAAGCAATGCGCATGCTGCCTATTCCTTTTGCTGTGCCGGAGAGGATGAGTAACCCGACAAGCTGATGAAGAGAATGCGTTGGGCTCTGAACAAATGCTGTGGGGAAAACGCACCCTATGGAATGCATGAGTAGGGAGGGACGGACCTCATGTTACCCAAGACAGGGCCATTCACAAGCCTATTTTTAAAAATAAAATAGAACAAAAATAAAACAAAACAAAGAACAACACAAGGGTGGTAGCAATTATGTCTCCCCATCTCTGAACACCCTCAGTAGGAAATGAAGTTTCATAAAATTGGTAGGTCTTTTATCTTTCCCAAGCATGTTTTCCCCCCTCCCATCTCTACTGTCTGGCTTGCAAAATTACTAATTATAATTTAAAAACTCTAGAATAAAAAATTACCAAAAAAACATTTTTCAAAGGCTTAAAATTTTTAAAAAATTGGATGTGGGAAATGGGAGACCTATGAAATGCATAGTATTTCCTCCAAGGCAAAGGGCCAAGACTGAAGATCTACTTTCTGGATCTGGTTAACCATCACCATGAAACAAGGGCAGATTCTCTTCTCTCAAATGGAAAAGTCTCTGTGGCTTGGGTCTGGTAAAACCAAAGGCAACTCAAGATCCCCTGAACTTTGTCCTCTGCTCTATACACCATCAACAGAGATGTCCTAGGGCACAGGTGGACTGGCCCATTTCACCTCTGAAACCCCTCCCAATTCTCTTAGGTTTTAATATGGACTAAACTCTTCAGACTAGTTGGTGGGGGGAATGGGGCCATCTTCCCTTCAGAATCATTCTGGCTGTTCATCCCACCTTCTCTTCACTTGGATAAAACATTGGAAGAAGCACCCCTAAGTACCCTAAGAGTGGCCAGTAATCCAAATTAATTTAATTGAACATTTTTCACAAGGGGAACTTTATAAATATTTCACTTTTTATATGCTTTTTAAAAAATGTTTTTTAAAGAAAGATTTTCAGGGCAGACACCAAAGAAAACCTGGCCTGCTCTACAATAAAATATACAGTGCTGCTGGTCAGATGGAGAAGCCATGACCCTCACAGAAACGCTCCCCTCCGAACAGTAAAAAAATCAATAGATACGAACTAGCCAAAGATTGCATTACTCCTGAGTGTGAGGGACACTGAAGTGCTATGGCAGATGGGTCATGGAGATTGCAGAAGAGAACATTCAGGATCGAGAGTCTGGGAAGTGGAAGGAACTCTGTTCCCAGGTGAGCCTTGGCAGAGAGGGAATATAGAAAGGCTCTAATCCAGGACTTGACAAACTTATTATGGAAAGGGGCAGAAAATAAATATTTCACATTGTGGGCCACAGAGTCTCTCTGCCCATTACTAACTGTGCCACTGTAACACGAAGCAGCCATAGATGATATGTACACAAATGGGCATTGCTAGGTGTCCATTCACCTTATACACATATGTGAAAACCATTCTAGCTGTAGTCCATACAGAACAGGCAAAGAGGGGGCACATTTGCCTTGCGGTTCATAGTTTGTCAACCTCTGCTCTAAACAATTCTCACATCAGAAAAGACATTTGTCATTCAGCTGCTCTGAATCACATAACAGAATTTGGGAAGAGGGGTTTCTGTACATTGGGAATTTTTTGGTCAAATAACCAGTCTTTATCCAAATCCTGTCAACAGCCCAATCCTCATCCACCCTGCTGGAGAACCTGCTGTGCCTCCTGGCTCTGCACTCTGTGAATGAATACTTAGGCCAGAGTCCTAGGAACAAGACAGAGTGAAAGCATGCAATTGGCCATTTCTAACTTACCTCACCCTACAACCGTTCCTGCCCAAACCCCAGTTTTCCAAATTGGTTCTGCAGCATGTGGTATATAACCCTACTGAGTAAAGGACTGCCTGCTTTATATAAAATAAAGAGAATTGTTTCTTTTCATCCAATTAAAATTTTTATTTGAATAATCTTTGAGTTTTTAAATGTTAATTTATGCCATTAAAATATGGATTTCTACTAAGACCCGTAGCCAGTTCTGTATTACCCACAAACTTCATGATGAAATTTGTCTTAGGGTAGCTTCATTCAAGTTCTATTCAGCTGGCTAAGCTACAACTTTCCTCCTCTGTTTGGCTCCCCCAAACCTCCTGCCCATCACAAAAGCTGAGCAGAGGCTCATCCTTGTTTAGTCTTGCCTTATGTCCTAAAAACCAGCCTAACCACTCTGTGTGCTAATGACCTAATGAAACACTAATATCACATCAAATCTGCTGCTAAGCAACATGTTACTTAGAAATGGAATCATATAATTTTGAAGCAGAAGGGACCCTGGAGATCATTTAAGACCAACCTCCTCACTATGTAGATGAGAAAGTAAAAGGATAAGAAGTTGTGAGTTTCTCAAGGTCTTACTATTAAAGTGGGACAAAAATCCAGAATGTCTGACTTAATAATTCCAAACTGTTTTTCTCTTCTTTTGAGTGAAATGTGGAGCTGGTTCAAAGGTGGTAAAGAATGTTTCGGCCCTGTTCATAAATGGCAACAAAACACACTTCCTTCTAGAGAGTTTCAGCTATGGTTAGTCTTGTGGAATAGAAGGAAGAAATTAATATCTGGGTTAAAAATGCCATTTATGTTCCCTAAGGAATGAAAATTCTATCTACAAATGTGCAATTTCCACAGTAAGAGCCAATAAGCAACTTCTGCCATGCCATCTTTGTCTCTATTATTTAAATTGCCATCTAAAATTTAGAACCTTAAGGATCTTCTGTAATATCTGCAGTACCAGTTCAGTCTCACTGCTAAAATCTTAATCATTTGGTGTGACTGTGTGATTTCTTAGGGGGAGGACTTAATTATAATATTCTCCATTGTGCTAAGACAATCATGAAATAAAATTTGATTTTTTCCCTCTCACTTTAGTCAAGGGGCTGAGAAAAGTGAAATGGTAAATGAAGTCTATTTCAGCAATTCTAAGACACACTCCCCACACTGGCATCCCTGAAGTCAACATAACATAGTTTAACTGGGAGCCTTTTAGTTTTCTCTTTTAGTATTATTACTAAAATAATACTTATTATCAAGGGCATTTTAGATTCAATAAAATACAGTAATTAAAGAAAACTGCATTACTGACTCTTAGACCAGTTTGGGAGACAGGAAATTTGTCATGTATGTATAGGCCTTCCAAAGCTCCTCTCTATTTCACTGTTGAAAGTACAACCTAAAGTTTGATCTACCAAACATTAATTTAATAACACTAAGCTGTTTTCATTATGACAAAAATGACTTTTTCAAAAGAGCACACAAAAGCAATGGACATGAATCATGATGGAAACAATAGGTCCACACACCTATTCATACTTTTAACAGGCCACCACTGTGCATGAATTCTCCTTCAGTTCTGTGTCACAGTCATCCATAATGAGGAAGCATTGGCATTTCAGCAGAACATTCAATCACCACTGTGCTCAGAAGAGTTCCTCCACAAATACAGATGTTATATAAGCATATTATAAAGTCCTGTTTGTGAAGGCATGATTGAATATCTATGTTCCCACTCATATAGTAACATTTTTGTTATTGTTGCTTCGAATATAGGTAGTTTTTTTCTGAGAATGACAAATTTAAGATCAGTTTTAAATTTCTGAAATGATAAATTCAACATGTATCTAATTTTCCAGTCCCTGCACTCAGGCAACAATTAAATCTCATTTTAATTTCTGAGACTAAACTTTTTTTAAACACTTAAATGTATTTTATTGAAATATTTCCTGGATTATAGAGTTTCAAGTGATTCTGCCTTTACCTCATTTGCAACACAGATTCTATTTTTAAAAGTATTATAGAATTATCTAGAAAGTAATAACTGGAAATGAAGCACTTACGTTTATAAAATACTGCTTTAAAAGATATGTGGGGCAGAAGTTCATAAATCTTTTCTAAAACGGTTGCTTCACCCACTGAGGAGGCATTTACATTCCAGACTTGGACTACGTCGTCTCGATCCCGAACGCTGACGCTGACTCCTATCACTTCGTCATCTAAGGGGAAGGCAGAAAAAAAAAGAAATGAGTGATAATTTCAAGTCTACCTGCACTGTTTTTTAAGCACTTATTATTTCATCTGTAAGTTATAAATAAGATGATAAAAAGAATGTGGCACAAGAGAACCCATAATAAATACTTGTTTCTAAGGAAAATTGTTGGACAAAAAGCAAGTTACTGGGTGAAAGCTGCAGCAATTACATCACATTTAAGCAGGGACTTAGATATACAAAGTGTTCTAGCCAAACAAATTTTCCAGGTAAGTAATTTACCCCTTTAAACATGTTACCAAAGGTTTTTGACTCTTTTTTTTACTCTGTTTTGATGAGACTTTCTAAAATGAGTTGCATAACTCTGCCCTCTGAAAGCCAAGTGAACTCAAATGAACTTTTCCTCGATGCTTGACTGTCTTTGTTAAGAACAGCAAGTATTTTCTCCTGACTTCCTGACAAGCGTTCACGTACCTTGGGGTGGTCAGTACTATTTGCCCCAACACTAACTAGACCTGGACTGTGTATTCCAAGCTGCTCTTTCTGCTTTTTGGGGCTTTGCTTGTCTCCTTTCCTATTGATGCCTCCTGCTCTCTAGTGCTTCTTTCTAGCCATCCCTGTTCCATAGTTGGGCTTTTTAACTGTGAGCTAGAGAATCAACGACCATCTGTTAGCACTATTTATAAAGAAAGAGTAAATACTTTTTAAGTGTGGCTCTGCTATCACGGCACTGCAGTAGTTGGACACTAAAGCATTTACCTATATTAATGAAGAGATGTCTTTTAAAACAAAACAAAACAAAAGTAAACTAAACTAAATTCTGCATTTAGGGCTACCTTGTAGATGTTTGAGAATGGTGGCCAGATCAGTAGGTTTTTTTGTACTGTCTTTGCAGACACTTTGTGTGTGTTAATTTGCAGCAAAATGATAGAAGTAAGGACTTTTGACTCCTGGTTTACATGTTTATGACATATTAATGAAATAGGGTCAGCTCTCTGAACCTGCATATCCAGCACCAAGAAGTAAAATGAAAAAGGTAAGCATAATAATTAGAAAATGTTGCTTTAATAAATATGCTTTGCCTAAATTTCTGTAAATCTGTAATTCAAAATAATTTATGTCATCAGTTCTTCCAATTATCTTCTGCAAATTAAAACATTCTATTATTTAGATGCAATTTAAGTAAGCACATATCCAATTTACTAAAGGAATTCACCTTCAGTAAAATAATTATTTTCTTTCCTCCTTCGTTCTCTTCTTCATTCCCTCGCTTCCTTCTTTCCTTCTTAAGTGAATTTGGTCCAGCTAAACTTATATGATTTGGCACTAAATGGTTCCATTTATAACAATGTTTGAAAACAGGCAAAATGAGCCCTATAATGTTATAAGTAGACTGTCAGCCATATTTGGGGGACGGGAGGATAAAGAGGGATTCTGGGGGTTGATAATGTTCTGCTCATTGATATGGTGGCTTGCTTTAGGGATCTGTTTACTTTATGAATATTTATCAAGCTATACACATAACTTGTACACTTTTTTGTATATATGTCACATTTAAACAAAAACTTACAAAAAATTAAATAGTACCTGACCATGACCATTCAACAGGAACTTATTCCATCAAAACATCTGTTTTATTTACACCTTTAAAATATACTTGCTAGAGCTCAGTTATGTTAAGTTTTATGTGAACATAAAGTTATCAAGAGGGAAGCTTTGCAGTTTACTACTTTCAAGAATGGTCATAAAGTCATCAGATCAGTCTTTTAGTAAAATATCAGCATTTTCTAGTCTTTTGATACAGCCCATTTCTACACTTTTGGTCACAGGGTGCTGAGTATGCCAAACTGTCAATATGGCTTGTGTGGCTTGGCTTTTAGTAACTAGACATAGCCTACTAGTACAGTGCTTTCAGAAACTGCATGGTAAAAAGGCTGCAACTCTTCTGCAAGGGCAGATCCATCAACAAACATGTAATAGTTATAAGAGAGTCAAAGAACAAAACTGTGATTATTTTAGGGTACTGGCAGCATAAGATGTTAGAGCCAGGAAGAGCCACTGGTTAAAGATGGGGGATGAACTGACTTGCTTCAGGTGGAAGAGCCAGGTTCATGGAAGGCTAATGGTTAATAGTTAATGGTGCTCTCCTTTCCTGAGTCAACCATAGAACAATAGGTCCTCTTTACTGAATCCTGGCAATTTATTATTACTTAGATAATTTTCCCTGGTTCTAGAAACAGGAATAGTTCTACTTAGATAATTTTCCCTGGTTCCAGAAATAGATATAATTTATACGGAAAACCTCCTTTCCCAGGGATTTCGGTATTTGTATATAATTATACCTAGGTCGAATTTTGGCTGCAGATTGTGAAGTTGCTAACCACTCCCTACCAAAATAGAAAGAATCTGTATTTTTAAGGCAATTTTACCTTAACTCAGTTTTGTCTTAAGTAAAGAAAAAAGTAGTGTAAAAAGAAAGTAAAACAAAAGCAGAATTATCAAAACTGATAGTGGGATGGATTTGAAACTTGCCATAGCATTGGCTAGGTATGCAGGGGCTCTGAAAGTCATGACCAGCCAAGATATCTGAGGACAAATTTGTCAATATTGATTCCATAAAAATTAAATAAATATCTGAAAGCTGAACAGGAAAGATGTGATTCAAATTTTACCTCTGAAATATCTACCCAGAAAGACTTGCCCAAGAAAAACAAAACTTTAAACGAGTAATTCAATTCCCATCTTTAAGTGGTTTCATGATAAAAACGAAGCAAAGTAAAAATGTACTCACAAAGGCTTTCAGAAATTCACTCAGTATTTGAAAATGGTCTCCAAAGTCAAGTCCTGAAGACTTCATATTTTAGCCTTAATTGTGGGGTCATAGCTAATAACATTAAGTACATATTGCTCCCTTTGAGCAGGGGACCAAGATAGGAACAGGAGGAAGGGGAAAGGGACTGAGAGGGACAGAAAGAATCGTGCCTATCTAACTACAAACTTCACTAGACACCAAAGGCACTTTCCCCTCAAGAAGAATTGGAAAAGAAAACCAACCAAAAGTTGTGTTAAGAGTCCAACTAATACCACATTTTTTCTTTTTGCCTATTTATTTTGGACAGATGGTCATAGATACTATTAAGGTGAGTTATAAGAGAACATACATACGCCTATACACAGATGTACATACATATAGTACACACACATGTAAATATGCATGTGTACATATACATAGAACACTAAATGCCACAATCACATGAATAAATCAAAGTAACTTCATAGTTGTAAAATAAACAACTTCAAAACATGAAAAAAAAAAAAGTAAAAAACACACAAACTTCTGTAAGTGACAAGCACAAGCCAAGCACACCCGAGCGGGCCCACGAGCCGTAGCTCTTTACCTGCTGCAGCACAGTCTGTGAACTGTTCCCCGATAGTCGCTAACAACAACTCTTTCCAAACTGTAGACTGGTGTGAAAAAGAATAAAAACAAAAAACAAAACCAAAAAAACACAACATACATATATATATGTATATGTATATATATATATTTTTTTATTTTTTTAGACAATTATATCCAGGAGCTAAACAAGTCCCATTTTCCACAACTTCTGTGCACTTTCCATGCCCATGTGTAGAGCCCAAGGCCATCTCCAAATTACAGATGTAAACACTCACAACAGTAGTGTGTGTTGTACTGTTCGACAAATAACTTTACACAGATAGATACAGTGATCCAAATCACAAACTTTGTGTCCAAAAACCTTGGTGTCCTAAAACTAAGTCACAAAGCTAATTTGTAGTGAAACCCCTGATCAAATTCAAATAATTGTGGAAAAAATGCATTCAAATGACATAATGTTCTGATTTCTTTACCTCTCCCTGATTCAAAACATATTAACTGATTATAGTTGAATGCTATTTAGTAAAATCCTTGTCTTCAACACCCTTTTCTCTGTTTTCCTTGCAGTTTATAAGGTACTTCAAAGGTTACACAAGTAAAGAGCACTTAAGGAAATTTCTGGTTTATTGGCTAATACTAGAGATGTGCAAACTTTTGTTCACTCAAGATAGACTGTTTATGTTAGTGACAGAATTTATGAGTGTATGTGTGCATTTCCCCAGAAGAATCAGTATATGGTCTGGTCTACCTCCAGTGAGAAAAAATGGAGTTTTTCTATTTAAGATCTAATGATGCCATCCAACAAACAAGTTATTGAAGTCCTAAAAGTTCTTCTAGTTATTCCCTCTTGAATAGTTCTTGGTCCCATTTACCTTCCTTGCCCTGGTCCACAGGCTCTGAACTCACCCAGAATTGGGTTTGAATCCTGACAGGCTGCCTTGTATCTGTGACCTAAGCAGGTTATCAATCTCTCTGCACAGGTTTTCATAGGTGAACAGGGAATAATAAGAGGGCCTGACCTCCCAGGAATCTCAAGTCCATGAGACTTGAATGAGACATTCGTCCATGAGACTAATGTGCTGAACACATTAGTCAACAAATGTGTTCAAAAGAATTAGCACTGTGGCTGCAGCCAAAGGACTCAACAACTCCATATATAGCTGTATGTTTGCTACATGCCAGAGGCTCAATACATTTTAACCACAACAATAGTGTTTATCATTACATTCTAATGAGCTGAAAGCAACCTGGCTGAATTTTTAACCCAGATGACAGCAGTTAAACATTGTGACCTCTTACTCTCAAGGAGGGTTTTCTTTTCTCTTTCCTAGACCCTCCCTTCTGGTCTACGTGTCTCCCATCTAGAAATCATCCTTCTCTTTCCTATCTGTCCCAACTATCAGTTTCTTATACTGTTAGCAATGAAGTTGAGGGGGAGGGAGGAAGTTACGGAATAGAAAGTTTCCTGTCCTGTTCTGGATTCAGGCAAGGTTGGACCACCAGATTCTCACTTGTTGACAGCTGTGTGCACCAAACTTCTCAGGATGCAATGCTTGTGGCAGATGTGAAGTGTTATTATTTGTGACTGAATGTGGCCAACTGGGCCAACAAGGAAAGGACAAACGTGCCTTTCAGCCTCTTTTCACTGAAAGTTGGCATCCTGATTGTTTCAAATCGAATTCGGTCTAGTGTCAAAAAATAACATGAAAAGGAAAACGTATTCTTACTGAAATTTTTAAAAACTTACATGGCTTTCTCTTTGTTTTCTCCTCTTACACTGCTTTCTCTCCTCTAACACTGCTTCCTCTCCTTTTTAAGGGGGACAGAGTGGATTCCTAGGCCTTAATTACCTGATTGGCTGCTGGCTCCCCTGACATTTTCTATTACGTATGCCAAATAAGAGCCAAGTCTTGGAGTTATACATCTTGACTAACAGCTTGCATCTTGAACAGATAAATCTGGCTGTATCTTTGGGTGTGTGCTTATAGGAAAATGACTCCAGCTCAACCGTAGGGGTCTCTGGAGATGGTTCAATTCTTTGAGCTTATCCACATGAAACAAACCATGAAAAGGTGAGAATGGGTAGCATTTGCCCTTTTGTCTATTTTCAAAGAAGCTTTTTGGTTTCCAAGGGCTTATGAATAGATCTGAGCATTCATTTTCAGTCAGCATGATAAATTTGAGCATGCCCACCCCTGGAAAATTGAGGTGTCTGAAGCTTGGTCATAGCAAACTAGCATCCCACCATGCTGTTCCTCTAACCAGGTTCTCATCAACCTCACGTGAAACTCCAAAGAATGGTGAGATCCAGGCCTCCCCAGCACCCCATTCTCAATGCCATGGTCATTCTCAGAGCCACGTTGCCCCCACTGGAGGAGGAACATATCTTTGGTAGGAGGAGACTGCTTGTTGCTTTGTAAAACTAACATCCACACATTAGGTATTGCTTGATAAAGAAATCAGTACCATAAAGATAATAAGGTTTCTGTAAAAGTTACAAGCATTTAGCTCTTTCACAAAGTAAAACTAATACACCATTTCTATAGTGAAGTGCCTTAACATATTTTCAAGGTGATAATGTAAGACGAAAATCACCAAAGTCAGAATAGCATTTGTCACCCCCAGTTCTGTTCTGAGATGGCCAGGTAGGCTGTCTTAAAAGTACAAAATGCCATCACTTGCAATCAACAACCCCAAGCTTAGTCAATTCCTGAAAAGGATCAGAACAAACCTACCGTGCTGTCCTTGGGAATTTTCATCTTCCATACGCCACCCTTTGCATTACTCTCCTCTTCCCTGGATCAAAGACCAAGGTCTGAAGTTACACTCAAGGATTAAGTGCTTGTACATACATTTACTTTAACAACAGATGACATAAAAAAACAAACAAACAAAAAACCCTGGCTGGTGTGGTTCAGTGGATTGAGTGCTGGCTTGCGAACTAGGGGGGTGCTATTTCGATTCCCCGTCAGGGCATGTGCTTAGGTTGTGGGTCAGGTCCCCAGTTAGGGATGTGCGAGAGGTAACTAATCGGTATTTCTCTCCCTCCCTTCTCCTCTCTCTGAAAATAAATTAATGAAATCTTTAAAAAAAAAATACCAGCATTTAAAAAACTCTCCCCCAGTCCTTTTATTGGAAACAAGTGAATTCAGTGACAAGGGCAGGGAAGGTGATGGAACACGAGGTGCTCACCCCCAAGAAGGTGCTAATGAGAGGTTCCCTGGATTACCTGGGAATGGACAAATTAAGACAAGTGCTTCACCTATGTAAAGGCCCCTTACATTTCAATATCACAACAATGGCATTGCCCTGGCTGACTCTCATATCAACTTTGCCTCTTAGGTCTATTAGGAGACTCAATACCTTCAGTGGGAATCTGTTGTGTTTTCCTGTTTAGTATCTGCTTCCTCTTCTGGTAAGACCATCCTGATTTCCTTTTAGGGAGCTACTTGTCCCTTACTCTTATGTCAGATCCATTCAGATAGGGGTAATGGCACATCTTAGCTTCAAACATGGGCTTGTGACCCAGGTTTGCCCATCAGATACTGTCTCTTGCTAGTGTTTGTGATCTGCCAAGGATGGAAAGGTGACCCATGTGAGCCAGTAAGAGCCAACCCTAGTATTTCCTGGGGCTAGTGAATGCTGACAGGGATAACCTTTTAGGGTACAAGACTGGAAGTACTATAAACCATTTTTCCATCTCAAATGGGAAAGCCTGAAAGTTAAACCAATGCAGAGTAAAGCAAAGTAAATCTGATGGAGAGCATCATGTTTCTAGTAGCATCTGAATACTCGTATCTGTCAGAAATCAGCCCTACCACTGGACTTCTCAATTATAGGGGCCAAAAATCTCATTTTTTTTCTTGGATTAAGTTCCTGTCATTTGCTGCCAAAGGAGCTGAGATACATTTCCATTTTATTCATGAGTCCATAACTTAGAATAGTTGGGGGATATGATATAAGGATTCATTACAACTGGGACTCTAGCCCAGGCAAACTGGCTTTCTGTCTACCATCCTCATCACTGCACTGAACTATTAAAGGAGACCCCCTCACCCAGACCCTAGGCCATGGTCAGTAGCACAAACTTTTTGAGGCCCATGTGAGAGGTATGTCTTTGATGACATGATCTTGTTCAACCATACAACAGGCATGGATCCTACATCTATCCCCCTCAACTCTCCACAAGTCTATAAGCTCGTCCACTCAACTGCTCAGGTTGTCTCCTATAGAACTAATAAAAGAAGCCCAAATTATGCAACCCCCACACAATGGACTGCAATTGTACTTTCAGAGCACTAGTAGCAACCCATTTGTGGGACACTGAATAGGGCCCTCGGGGGAGGAACACCAAGAAACCTTCTCACCATCCCGAGCCCAAGGTGAACAGTGTGGTGGGCAGGGGCTTACTTCATAACTAAGTAAAGCTAAAATTACTTCCTGCATCACCTGGAGAAAAGTGCTTTGGTGTTCCTATTCAGCTTGACTTCATGTATTTAATGAAGGTTACAATCATTTCCCTCCCACCCTAACCTCCAGTTAATGTGAGACACTTACCAAAGTGGTCGCCTCTCTCCTCTCATTAAATGATAACTACATCTCAAAGGCAGGCTAGTCACAGGAGGGATATTATTGTACACACTCCAGAATATCTTTAAAAGAAAAACACCTTGTTTAATATACCCAGTATTGATTTTTACTATGCTACTAGATTATAAAATTAATGAATTAGAGAACAAACCAGAATCTCATTAAGTCTTATCCATTCAAAATAGATTTTTCTCAGTGTTCTCATTTTCCAATAGAAAATTTAATGTTAATATTTAAAAATGTTCCTTGTAGCCCTGATGGAGTAGCTCAGTAGGTTAGAATGTCTACTCGATACACCAAGGTTGTGGGTTCATTCGATCCCCAGTCAGGGCACATACAAGAAATCAACCAATGAATGCATAAATAAGTTGAACAACAAATCAATGTCTCTCTCTCTCTTTCTCCCTTCAAATCAATTTTAAAATATTTAAAAAAGAACTTAAAAAAATAAAACAAAATATGTAATAATAATAAAATAAAAAAGTGTTCCTTGCTGAAATCAAGCCAATTTCCATGGGTCTCAATGCTGTGGTTATTAAACAAACATTTCTATGCCATGTATCAACATATAAAACTGAGTAAGAACCTTGCTAATGATTTTTCTGACAGACAGACTGCATCTAATAAAGCCTGTAGTACTGAGTATGTGTGCTGAACCATATTTCCTATAACACAGGCTTCGTTCTGACCCTAAAAGGAGTCTACACCCCTTTGGACTAAGTGATGGGGTATAAAGGAAGAGGCAGAGAAGAGTCACCTGAGGTGCCCTGTCCTCCTTTGTTCCCCTAGCAGGAACACTCAGCAGCTCTGTTGCCCAAGATACAGGGCATATGGACTGCATATTTGTGTTCTCAAACTCATATAGTGACTTCATATAGAAGGCAGAGCCTTGGGAGGTAATTAGACACATGGATGGGGCTCTCTTCCTATTCTTACAGGCATTAGTATCCCTGTAAGAATAGGAAGAGAGCTAGTCCCATCCCTCTCCACCATGTGAAGACACAATGAGGAAATGGCTCTGCCTATAAATCAGGAATGGGGCTCTCACCAGAACCTGACCATGCTGGCACCTCCATTGTCCTCAGACTTCCAGCCTCTAGAACTGTCAGAAATCAATTTTTGTTGTTTAAGTCACCCAGAACATGGTATTCTATTACAACAGTGAGAACTGTTGTAATGAAGACACAGAGTGGCTGGTAGGCAGGAGCATTGTATAAAAAATAATAGAGTAATAGTAATAATAATAATAGTAATAGTGCCAGGCTTTGGTCTATTAAGGTTTACATGTTTATATAATTTGTCCTAATTTGACAACCCCATTAGGAGACACTACTATTATACTTGTTTTATAGATTAAGAAAATTGAGGCACAGAGACTAACCTCTCCAAGCATCAGTGTTTGGTGTGACCGTTAGGATTTATGTAAGAATTGTGTTTATGAAGAACAAAACCTTTCCCAGTTGTTCAGAATGAGATATAGAATCACTCAGCTATGAATTCCATGAGTAGAATTACACCACAAATGAGGAACATCCTTCCAGGTAGTGAGGTAAGTAGAGAGTGATTGTCTGTGTTTCATAGTGGGTCTGAAGGGAGCAGCACAAGCAATAGAACAATTAGAACAACCTGTCCCAGTGTCATGAATAAAGTAGTATTGGTGGAATGAAATTTTATCTATGTAGACTAATGAACCTTGACGGTTGTTTGGTTGTTCGAGTCTGCCTTGTGTAAAAGTTAAAGCTGAATTAATTGCAAGGGCAGCAACAATAAACAGTAAGAAAACTGAAGGCAAAAAAGCTACCTGCCTGTAGACTTATTAATTAGGGATGCCTTGATTCCCCTGCCTACAGCAACACTAATGTGGGGAATAGCTGAAACTGGATTTGGAGAAGCAGCAACTCCTCGAACAGTATCCATCTTTAGGTGTTGGGAACCGCCCTGACTGGTATCAGAAACTGAAACCCCCGCCTAGGCTAAGGCTAAGGGAACGCCCTTGGAACCGTGAGCCAGCAAGGAGACAAAAGCTTATCTTCCTGGCAGGAATGCTGTTTCTGCTGCTGAACCCCAAAAAAGCTTGGTCGGGTTAGCCAAAGACGGGTAAGATTCCCCACGGGGGAACAACCCAAGCCAGGCACGATCACTTTTGGGAGGCCCCCCAAAAGAAGGACTTGGGGGGCTGCAGCAAAAGGGGGTGATGGACCCTCACTCCTCGGCTTTGACAAAGTCTGAGTTCTCAGCGTCCGGAAGAAAATCTCCTTATCTCTCGGTGGCTTTAGTTCCCGCGCTCCACCTAAGCCTGAAACAATGACGGGGTAGTACAGCTCGGTACTGGGAAGTGCGGATTTCCCGGGGTGATCAGGCCTAAGAAAGAACATGTAAATTACTGTGAAACCTTCTTTGTTCAAGAATGCTCTCAGTTGAATGAGGAGGGTCTTAGGAGGAAGCTAGTTTGTTCCTCAGCCTTACAGCTCTTTGACCCCCCAACTCAATAGACCGGCAGAGTTCTTTGTTTTCTATATTCCTTACTTCCCCTAATGAGTACTGTACTTTACCTGAATTATTATGCAAAATGAGCCTAATAAAAGCAGGTATGGACAGTAAATCAGCGCGCTCCCCCACTAGGGGGGTGGCCATTTCGTCCCTACTTCCCCACAGAAACTAGTTTGTCTCTGTGCATGTTGTTATTTCTCGCGTGTTTATTGTCGAGCCATCCACAGCGTTCCGTGGTCACTGCTGGCCGGTGACCCACGCGCAACATTTAGGGAAAGGGATCAGCATTTGCTACCCCCAAAATATGACTTTTGGGATACTAATTATTTTATGCTGGTTATTTTTAAGGAACAAAAGACTCAGAAAGAACCACCAACTCTTCCCCTTTCCTGCCTAAAGAATTCAGATAGGAAAACCTGCTTCAAAAAGGCAGCCTTAGCATATTTGACTTAGCATATATGAGTTAAGTGTGGCAGACATGGAGGATACAAGTCTGTTTGTTAAACACCCTTCTATTTCCCATTGTTTCTGGGACACCCAGCATGAATTTGGTTACCACATTTGTTCTTTCTCATCTACCAGTAAATTGTCTGCTTTCCCTTTGAAGTCCCAGAGCCCTGACTCCCTCTCCTTAATCCACAATAGCATATACAAGGTCTGTCTGCAAAAAGTCCAGCCATTGTTAATATAATGGGAATGGTTTGCGCAGTATCGATGTAACCTGGCAGCTAAGTCGAGTGGACTGGAATGCACATGTGTGAACAATGACGACTTCACTGTGCTAGTCAAGTCAGTGGGGGCAGTAGACGCCATTGAGTGAACATGTGTACTGTGTGGCCATCGCATTCAAAATGATTGAGTAGAGCAACAAGTCTGTATAAAATTTTGCGTTAAGCTTGAACATTTCTCCGCAGAAACTACTGGAATGATTCAGAGGGCTGCAGCTATGGGCAACTGGTGTTTAGCAGCTTCATCATGACAATGTGCTTGCTTATGCATCGTGTCTCGTGCAGAATTTTTTGTGAAACATCAAATTACCCAGGTGACTCGGCTCCCCTACAGTCCAGATTTGGCGCCCTGTGACTTCTGGCTTTTGCCAAAACTAAAATCACCTTTGAAAGGGAAGAGTCTATGGCCATACCACCCTGAACATGCTTGATCTTGTCTGAAAGGGAAGAGATTTCAGACCATTGATGAGATTCAAGAAAACATGATGGGGCAGCTGATGGCAACCAGGAGAACTGTGTGAAGTCTCAAGGTGCCTACTTTGAACGGTACTGAGGCGTCATTGTCCTATGTACAAGTTTCTTGTATCTTGCATCTTCTTCAATAAATGTTTCTATTTTTCACATTACATGGCTGAATGACTTCTGGACAGAACTTATAATCCTCAACTGCTCAGTGGGTCCTGGAGTGTCATAATCTTTTAGAACCCTGAAAGAATTTATTATGTGCACACATAATAAATTAGGTCATTTTTTTCCTATTAATCTGTCTCATGTCAATTTATTAGTCCAGCTCAAAGTTAGAAAAACAGAAGGAAAATTATTTTTCCATGTTCATAATTTCTACCCTATAAATGGTTTATTCTTAGTGTAAAGAATGAGATTACTCCAATATTTCAGCTTCTGTTTGTGGTATACACATGAGTAAGGTAGAAATATAATTTGATGCCAGGCATTTTGGTTCCAAAACCTGTGTTCTTAACCTCTAGGCTATTTTCTTTGATGATATTACTCTGTGTTTTTGGGCACATCTTTCTTCCACCTTGGAAGCCACGGATCAAGTCATGGAATCACAGAATGAAGGAATGTTTAAAGCTGTTTTCCCACCAGTAGATGCCCTTACCAGCATTGAGCACGGTGGTGCTTTAGCTCCAGCCTGGAATCCTCACTATGCTGTGGCAATTGTAGAATGTATAGACAAGACTATGCTAAACCAGAAATTTCTCCCTCAGGTAAAACCAAAAGGACTTCGGTGCAGGCAAACTTCAGGTTTCCTGAAAGGCATCCCACACCAGAGCACCTGCCCTACTCCCTGCCAGAATTCTTGAATCCTGACTTTTTACCTACTATTATAAGCACCTAGAGGAGTGGGGAGGGCGGGAAGGCTTCTCCTGTTCCAAAGCTAAGAAAACGCCCTAAAGATTATGCTAAAATTTATAGCTTTACAAGCTTCTCTTGAAAACAGAAACACACATTTATTTTGTTAGTCTTGGCAAATTTGACAGCAGGAAACTACAGTCCAAGAAGATACACCAACAGACTTAACTCTGACTTAATGTACTTACAAAGCACATGGTTGCACATTTGTGCATGACAAGGAATAAAATATCTCATAACATTGAAAAGAGCTCAATTTTAAAAGCACGTGGCATTAAATTGGTCTATTTTCTTGTTGCGAACCTCATACAACTTATTAGGTTTATGTGATGGAGGAAGAGCTCAAGGAAGGAACCCAGCACTTCACTGCTCCTTAGAACTTCTTCCTCCATGTGCAAGTAGAAGGACTGTGAAAACCGAAAGAACTGGTTGAATTCAGATTCCATTTAACAAAGAATGATATGCTGTGA